CACCTGCCTCAATGTCCTCCTTGCCCTTCCAGCATCCAGCCTGGATGACAGGTATGGATGTATCTTTCTATCGTCTACACTAGGCAATAGCTTCTCTAGGAAGAGGAGCCTCACTCTGCATATTTCTTCCTCTTAAGGAATGAATGCTCAAAATAATAGTCCTAGCTGTATCTCCCTTTCACTAGGCACCTCTCAGGAGCCAGTTGCTGTGAGATTCCTCTTATTAACTCTCATGGTCCCCCGCCTAAGGGGAGCGCTATGGGCTTCTTGTGAAAAGTGGGAATCTGAAGCTCAAAGAGGGTGTTCAGGCATGAGGGGATCTCACTGTGTGTTGGGCCTCCAGGCTCTTGATCCTGGTCATACTAACCTGGTCACCCTCAGAGAGACAGTGACCACAGGCAGATCACACCATGGGCCCTAGATGCTTGCAAAATCACATCTAAGAAAAACTGGTGGGAGAGGGAGGTCAGGTCAATATAAAGAAACTTATTGGAAAAAATTTCTAAGACATATTAAGCTTACCACTTTTTGCTTTTCAAAAACTAAGAATTTTTTCCCTTTCTTCTACCCTCAACTAATTTTCTCTTGAGTCTACAATACCCACATAGTTATTTTTTTTAAGACAGAGCAAACATTTTAACTCTTACCAAGGAATTTCTGAGGCATAGAGCTCTTACGTCTGGCGACGTTACTTGCTAGTCTGTCCAGCACGAGGGATCTCTCTGATCCTATCTTGCACAGGTCTTCTGCCATCTCACTGTGATTAGTTTCTTCTTTAATGACTAAAGTCAAAGACAGTTAGAGAGGCCAGTTTAGAAAGGCTTAGATTTAAAGGAGTCTGTCGAGTCCAGTGTTACATCTGACATTTGTTAAGTGCCTAAGAGAGTCAGGACGTTCCTAATTATGATTATGACTAATCTTCCCAGTAACCCTGCCAGACAGACAGAGACTTGGCTATCACAATGTCAAAGACCAGCCACCTGCTCATGCTCCTTCCTATGACCACATCTTATCCCCAAGACCAAAAGAATAAGTACCACCACCATCACCCAGGGCTGGGCCTAGATTAGGTAACTGTGTCCCTCTGAAGAGTCCTTCTAACCTTTCAAAATACAAATCCACAACCTCAGTCCATCCTAACAATAGCCCTCTGAGAATCAAAGAACTTTCCGATCTAGGAAAGACTTAGGACTCTGACTCCACTGACTGGCACAGAGAACTAAGATGCAGGAACATGGCCATTTGGGATCCTTTGGCACATCTTGGCAAGGTGGGAGCAGAACCCAGACCTCCTTATCCCTGAACACAGAGCAGACTCTTGGTAGTCAAATAACATCTGCACACTTTGAAGACAGAGATCCTGAAGGTAAATGCAAATGAAGGCTTTTTCTAGTCCATCTCTCTTTTTCTATATTACCTCTTTTCATAATTGAAGATACAGCTTTGCAGCCTGCATAACAGCATCTATTGACTTCTAGTTTTTATGGCTGGGATTTTTGAAATACAACTCTTTCATGTCCCTGAAATTTATCCCAATGTTTAAGGAAAATATAAACTGCCCACCTTCCACGTATCTAATCAATTCTCCCAACACCCATTCTGCTCTATGCTCCTTCTCAGGTACTTTGTGTTGATTATCACAAGGTCTTTGGGTGTATTCATTTTTTTTTTTAATATTTATTTATTTATTAGTTATTGGCAGACCAACATCTTTGTTTGTATGTGGTGCTGAGGATCGAACCTGGGCCGCACGCATGCCAGGCGAGCGTGCTACCGCTTGAGCCACATCCCCAGCCCAAGGGTGTATTCATTTCTAATATTGATTTACCAGTATATTCTTCAAAGAGTTCTACACATTATAGCCACATTTTCATATAATGCTAGACTTGCCAATTCTCTCATTGATTTTTTTTTTCCAGATTCATATGTGGTTACCTAATTCCAACAAGATTTACAAAGCAATTTTATATTAAAACCATGCCTTTATTTGGGAGGATGTCCATGGATAGTGTCCACACTGCTGTCCCTCTGCAATCTTCCACACTCTTTCTTGCCTTGTTGTGGTTTGGTCACTTTCTTTGCTACAAGGATTCTCAAGTATTTTATGTCTTTATTGGTATTATGAACACTACTTCAAAAACCCATGTTTTAGATGATATTGCTGATGTATTTATTTCATTTTCTAACAGTGGAAATCTGTGAATCAAATAAGTCAGGGTGTACAGCCCACACCCCAACTTATAGGAAGGATATACATAAATCCATAAAACCCAATGCTACCCATTTTATACTTCACCTATCTAATTAACATGCTCATTTAAATGATCCTCCTCTGTAAAACAGGCCCAGTGACCAGTCTGCAATGCCCTCACACCTCACATGGGATTTCTCCCCACCATACCACAGGCTTTGACCCCCAGAGCTGACCGCAGTAAGGGAAACGTGAACCTAAAGCTCTAGAATCTCTAGCTACATCATCCTTATTTACTCCTCAATTTATGTTCTTGACGTTCAAGAAACACTTATTTTTTTTTTCCATAAAGATATTAGGAAATGGCAACAGGTGACCAAAAGCCTTTTACTAAGGAAAATTATAGTCAGAAAAATAAATCTTACTTTACATTCTTTAAACTAGGCATTGTATTTACTTAATGGACCCAGCTGAAAAGGGGCTGGGGAGCCAAGAGATTACTCAACAGTCCCTCTGAGCACTGATGAGGGCTGGTCTCTGAGAGATGTGGGGGACAAGAGAGGGGAGAAGCCAAAGAAGGTGCAGGTTCAACTGGCCCTGGCACAACCCAGCTGACATGACCAAGACCCGGGAACTCCCCTGCCCTCCCAGTCCTGCATGTAGTCTAGCATTTAACTTTCATGAAAGTTCTTTTGATGGATCCTCTCAATGCTGAAAGTTCCTTAAACTTAGCACTTACTGTATGCCTACAAAGGATAGGTGTCAACAATGGTAAAAATCAAGCTATCTTTGGCTGCCCAAAGGCACACTGTTAAAGACTTAGTCCCCAGGGTGACACTGGTGGGAGGTATTAGAACTTTTGAGAAGTAGGGTCTTAAGTGAGCCTTAGGTCACTGGGGACATGCCCTCAAAGGGTACTGTGGGGGTCCAGACCCTTACTTCCCTACTCCCCTGGCTCATGGTGATGTCATGATTTGCTACTTTGCCATAGGTCCTAAGCATGAGGCCAACCAATGACTGACTGGATGACACAAAAAATGCAAGACCTGAACTTTTGTCTTTGTACATTGATTACTTCTGACACTTTATTTGATATATCAAGATATCAGGAAATTACAACAGGTGTCAGAAAGCTCATATACACACATACTGGCTAAAGGTATTTAAATCTTGCTGCACATCTTTAACAAAAGGCAGGAAAACCTGAATGTCATTAAATGCTAGCACAGCCGGCTCTGTCTGTGGCCACATTGAGATCAGATGACTGCATCTTTCTAGAGGAGCCTTCACATCTATTGAGAAGAGGGACATGAGGACATTACTGTATTGTTCCCCATTACCTGACCACCAATGGGAACAGATTAACATTTTAGGCTAAAACTGATTCTCACCACATGGAACACCAGCTTACTGACAAAAACATCAATGGAGAATGAAGTTGCAGATGTCCATCCATCAGAGACTTCAACTGCTCTGTTGAGATAAGTCTGGTATGGACATCTAGGCTGCTTGTTCTCATGTCTACATGTTCTCTTGTGCTTCTCTCGGGACACTATTTTGAGGATGACCAGACAGGCACTATCACTCACATTCAAAAGATGAGGCCTGGTGATGTGGTTTGGAATGTTTCCCAAAGGCTCATGTGTGGAAAGCTTGGTCCCCAGGTGAAACTATTGGGAGATGGTGGAAACTTTAAAAGCTGGGGCCTAGTTGGAGGCAGCAGGTCACCAGGAGTGGTGGGGTATGCCCTTGAAGCCGACATCTTGTCCCTAACCTCTTCCTCTATCTTCTAGTTCCCTGGTTGCCGTGAGGTGGACAGCTCTGCTCTACCATGGGCTCTCTGCCATGATGTTCTGTCCTATCATGGGCCCAAAGCAATAGGGGCAAAATGACCATGGACTGAAACCTATGAAACAGCAAGCCAAAATAAATCTTTCCTCCTTTCAGCTGATTTTCTTAAGTGTTTTGTCACAGCAACGGAAAGTTGACTAACATATCCGGATTGCATTAAGAAACAGATTCAGCAATGAAACTCAATCCTGGGTCTCGTGAAATGACTGTTGTTTCTCTCCTGAAAAACAGCTCACAGGCTGCTGTAGGTGACAGCTTGTTTCTTTAGCAATGAAAAGGGTGGAAGAAAGAGACAACACTATGCACTAGGTCTGTTTATTCCACTGGTTTTGTCTTAGATCTATGTCTACATCAGATTATTTCATTCAACAGAGCTTGGTATTGCAGTTAATAAATCCTCAGTAAATATTTGTTGAGTGTATAAAATGGCTTACTAAACATTAGTGTATAAATTACATCATTAGGACCACTTGTTTCTAGAACCCATTAATTAATATTTTTTACAGAAAAATAAAGTATCTGAGTATTCACATTTTATTAAAAAATTATATTCTCTTCCCCCATTCTTCTATCTTAGGGCTGGCCAAAAATTGATAATTGTTAAATTACCATTAAATTATTATTATTTTTCCATTCAGTGTCTCATTTTCCACCCACTCTCAATGCCTCTCCAACCTAGACCTTAGATTTTGAATAAAGGTAAATGATAATGTCATAGAATTTTTCCACTTCACAGGTGAAAAGACTGAGGCCCAGAGAAATCATGGGCCTCAGGTCCACAGCAGATCAATAAGAGGGACCACACTAGACCACACCATCTCTTGCCATGTGATAAGTCGATGCCAAGACTAATCCGAATTAGGACTTCTGACCATTCTTTTCTTCTGCTCTCATCTGCCATTAATAATTTGAGTGTACTCTGATGAATTTTATTTTATAAACGAATTGTCATAACATTGAGTGAGGCTTAGAAAATTTGTAACCATTAATTTGATTTCTACCCTATAATCTAATGATTACTAAATGAATAGTGTTTTGAAAGAGCTTAACTTCATTTGATCTATTTATAAATCTCTAATCTCTTATGAAGTCAGAAGAGAACCTTTTATAACACTGCCACTCCTCTGAGTAAATCAGCCTTCTTCAGCACTTTCCTTACATCTTTCACTTTGCATTATCTAAAGACTTGAATCAAGTGCTATGTCGTTATGCAAGATATATAACACAGTTCAGGAGACAAGTTCAACTTCCTCTACTTCCTTGACAGCTTCAATATTACTGACTGTCAGGGTCTACCAATGAGCTTTGCCCTCACATTCCTGGCAGGTGTGGATACTCTGCCCTTGATCTGAACCTATGATGGAAATCATAGGTTAGAAGTGATATGATGGAAATCACAGTCTGGAAGTCCATATTTGATCAATTTAACAAAAAATAGATTTAAAGCCAGATTTCATAACTTGTTCCAATTTTTAAGTACAAAGAAACAATTATTACTCTAGACTTTTCTGTGCTTTCATTTTTTTGCTGTGCTGAGGATCGACCCTAGGACCTCATGCATGCTAGGCAAGCACTTTATCACAGATCTACAGCCCCTGCCCACGACTCCAGATTTGAAAAAAAGAAGTCAAAACCACAAAAAAAACCAAAACCAAAACCAAAACAAAAACAAAAAAACATAGCACAAATCAACACCTAAAAAACCAAAAATTTTCATGAGCCACTAATGTTTTAGGTGTTTCTACAGATTTGAACAGGGAGGGTGTTTTAAGACAAACTCTATCTGGTCAGACATGAGAAGTGGAGAAGAAGAACATGCTCCTAGTGAAATTGCAATGTTATTGGTCAAAAAGTTCCCTCTCAGCCATGGTGGGGAGCAGGCCCACAGCTCTGCTCCTAGGGCCGTTCATGCACAGTGCTGGGAGGGAGAGAGATCACATCCAGCCTCGGAGCTTCAGCGCTTACCTGGGTACAGCGTGCCTGGAAGGCCCATGCTTTCCAAGTAGTTGTGGCAGCGCTCTTTATGTTCCTCTAAAGAGCTTCGCTGTTTATAGCTTCGGCCACAATATCCACATTTGTGAGGCTTACCAACTGCAGAAAACACAATTGAGTTCAAGACCCCAATTAAATGCTGGCCTTCTGTGTCTTGGCAATGCATGCAATACAATTCTTACCAAAAAAAAAGTAAAAAAAAAAAAATTCTACTCTTGAGAGCTAAAAGCATTATGGACTCAGTCAAAAATTATTGAACTTAAAAATGTTAATGTGCAGGGAAGTACTTGACTGTACCAAGAACTCATGTGACTCATGTTTCTTCTTAATTTGTCTATTGTATTGACTATCAAATTCTCTCCTCCACGAATCGCTGACACCTGTCTTTTAACTGGAAAAAAATCAAACCACTGGAATGTTATAATGTGGATGCCAAATAACTGGACAAAAAAAAATGAGGAAGGCTGGGTAATCTATGATTCACCCCCAGACAAAGGCTTCCTGTCCCATTCTATGATGTAGGCCAGGTCTGGTGCAACATAGGGGCTACAGCTAATGTGACTAGGGGTGAATTTAATTCAGGAGGCTAAACTGGATAAATTTATGCTTCAATGAAATGATCATTATATTTCTAGATTGCATTTTATTACATAATGCAAATATATTTTAACTTGCATTATCTATACAAAATATTTTTTATAAGGATACACACAACACCTACTATATTTTCCATGAACTGAGTTTACTGTTTTCTCACCATAGAGCATTAGGATAATGTAGTTTGAGACCAGCCCTGTTTGATATATTCAGGATTATGGAAATGTTTTCTATATGGCCGTCAAAACATGGTAGCCATAGCCCATGTGGCTATTAAAGGTCTGAATTCTGGCTTGTGACAAAGATGATAGAAGTTTTAATTTTGTTTAATTTTATATTGCTAAAATTAGAAGACTACTTATGGTTAATAGCTAGTGTGTTGGGCAGTGATGTTATGAAATGAATTTAGCCCTTCTTGGATTTTAGTGAGTGGCATTTTGGGAAAAGAAGACTAGCAAGGAAACCATATCATGCCTATTTAAAGACTTTGATAGAAACCATTTTTAAAGATAAAATAGCCAATATTTATTTAATCCTTAAGGAATATAAATTTCTACCCTAACACCAGGATAGGATCTTCTTTCTTTTGCTGTTTGATTTAACGTATTTCAAAGTATTCAGGAATATTTGTTTGATAACTGGTTTAACCAATGTATATGTTAATCCAATCTTTTTCCTGGGTAAAACGATCCTATGATTAAAGAAGAGAAATATGAAAACCAAAATTTGTCTTGGGGAACATTCAGTAGAGATAACAGGGATCTTTCTTTATCTATAGAAAGTGATGTGTCCCCCAACATGAAGAAATAATGATGAAATATGGAATGCTGCCTAAAAGGAAATTTTATTGAGTACCATCTTAGAAATTAATAGGATACAGATAATAAATCTATGTTCCTTCCTGGAAAATCTTTACCATTGGTGAATTACATTATCAAAATTTCCTCCTGTATAAATGGCATGGTGTCTAGGTATCCATTTTTTCTGAGTATGTGAGTGATTTTTACTCTGGAATATAAAAAATGATCACTGTAAGCAACTGAAATATATCTCCAGGAACAAAGAAAGTCTTCTAATAAACCTTACAACTTTCAAAGAAGGAGTGAAGAAGGGGACTGTACCCTTATCCCTCCTGATCCCCCAAACTTCTCTTGATATGAGCATGGGACGAATTCTACAGCTCTAAAAATTCTATAACTAACATGTTGGCATCTGGAACTTCTGGTTACCACTGGTTGCTAGGGATAACTGTGTGGATGATTCTGGCTTTTAATAGAATGAGGGGCATAGACATTCTACAAGACAATACAATGTGGCTACTTTTGAGTTTGCCAGATAAATTTTGTTCCGTGAAATCTTTTTGAAGAATCTAAAATTACTGCTTTTTTTTTCAAGAACTCTGTGCCAAAGTCACTTTCAGACAGTAGAATCACCAGTGTCACTGAATCTAGGACCGCTTTCTCCATTAACTCTTTGGTGGAATCATAACATAATTAAACGACCGAAAGTCTGCCACCTGTTATACATAATTACTCAGAGACTTCCTGAATGAAGTAAGCAGGCATGGAGCCAGAATAACATACAGTATGCACTAGATGATTTTCCTCGTTTCACAGGAGAGAAAAGAGAGAGTCATCATCTGAAGTTCTAAGGACTGATATATGCAGGAGATATCTGTATTGCAAATGAGAGTGATCCCAAGATGCTGAGGATATGGTTGGTATCAGCCTCATAATGAGTCTGTGGTTTCCACCAACTTGGGAAGGGGTGCCTCCTATAAACCTGAGGGCACTATTGCTGTCAACTGTGTCTGTGCCTGTATGACCCCTTGCAAATGATAGACGTGAAGTTGCTTTCTGCTAGGTCACAGCATGCAGTATTGTGGGATGCACAGATGAACCCTACAGGGGCCTTATTTGTCAGTTTGTCCCTGGCACCACCTCGCCTCCAGGAGGGTCCACACCTGATCATCACATGTAAACACTGGTAAGTGCTCACTGCCATGGAGTCAGGTCCCTGTCTCAGGAAAGCCTTCTCTTCTCCCTATTCCCCATGCAACAAACTACTCCCTAGACTGAGCACGTTCTCTTCCAGGTGAGGAGGTAGCAGCCCTATTGGCAGCCCCTCCTGACCAGCCCACTTTGTTAAGGAGAGCAACTCCTCTGCTGGAAACTGCTCCTTTCTTGGCAGGTTTCAAGAAGCTTACCCAAATCATCACAATTTTCGGATTACAAGCTTTTTTGGGAACCTCCAGCATGCTCATTTCCAGGAAGGAGGTGGGAACAGAGAGGAGATGGCTCACAGCCTGGGACTGACTCCTCACCCTTTTCTCCAGCTGACTCAGTGAATGCCCTTCCCACAGGGACTACTCACCAGAAGGACCAAGCTCTTGCCAATACTTGCTAAAATGTGTAAACACGTTATTCTAGGATCACTGCAGAGTCACACTCATTTAGAACTCCCCTAAAGAAACTCAGAAATGGGCCTTGGGCAGGTATTCAAGCCCTCCCCCTACTGGAATTCTCTCCCTCCTACCCAAACCTACTGTCCACCCTCTTGCCTTCTGTTCCACTGGGCCCTCATGTGCTCTGCCATGTCCCCTGTGAGACATGGGTGTTTTCCTTGTGTGTACCTGCAACCCCTTGGAGACTGAGCACCCTGAGGGGCTCAGTAAATGTGAGACAAAGAGATGGACAGAGAAGAGGTACTTAAAACCTGCACCATGAAATACACTTGTCACATTTGGGAAGAGGTGGCCTTAACCCTGCAAGTCTTTTGCAAAGAACACATGTCCCCACTTTCTTTGAGGGAGGATCCTCCTTATCTTGCTACTTGGGACAGCAGGGAAAAGCTGTTCTAAGGCATTCCCCCATAGCACCTGCCCAGAGTGCTGCTGCAAATGGCCTAAGAGGTGGTTGGTGGGGGCCAGACACTCCCAAAGGGAGGGACAAGATCCATCAACCTCCAGTTCACAAAGTCTGTCTCACATATCCCTACTGGACAGTGTGGAAGAAACCCATGCATGTCATGTGGAGACACACTGTAGGCAAGCAACATACAACCTTTCTTCCTCTGATCTTTAAGAGGATAGAGCTACCGGATAATGAAACACACAGGAAGATTTCTCAGGAGGCAGATCTAACCTAACTAAAGACTTCCTGTGTGATATAGGTTAGGAGTATTTGAACAACTGCGAATCATGATTGACCTGAGACTCCCAATAATTTGGGATATACTTAAAGACAAATACTGCTATCTAAAATCTGGTGAAAGTCCCAAACTACCCTCTCCTGCTGAGGCCCTGATTGGTCACTGACAATAAAGAATCACTCTTGGACTTGGACAGGCATGTCCTTGGTTGGTGGGGTTATGTCCTAAGCCACTTTGATGTGTCACCTCTGCAAAGAAAACTGTCCCTACTGCTATTAAAAATACTCCATGTAAGACAGAGAAAAAGTGTATTTGGAAACATCTAGGGCATGAGCAGTGCACCTGGTGAAGATACAGCTGGAAAAATTCTTTGTAAAAATCTCACTTACCTGAAAAAATGGAATAAGGAGGCCTCTTCTGAATATGCTACCTGAGGTGACATTTCCTGGTGTGTGTGTGTGTGTGTGTGTGTGTGCGCATGCGTTTATGATTTTCCCTACCCATTTCCTCTGTTTCAGTGGAAAGTGAGGTACTGAGGCCCATGCTGAAATCATGGCAGCCAGTAGCCATGGAGGACTGTGTACAGGGCCAGGCGGGAAGGCAGCCAGCAAGGACAATTCCCAAGTACACGATGCATGACCTAGAGCCTCACACCACTGCAGTGGAGGCTCCTCTTGCCTGGGGTACCAGACATTCCTGGCCTGAGCCCAGGAGACCTACCGGAATGCGTCCTCAGGTGACCGGTGAGGGCATCCCTCCGGCGGCAGGCGTAGTTACAGAGGTGGCACTTGAAGGGCTTCTCCCCGGAGTGCAGCTTGATGTGCCGCAGCAGGTTGCCTTTCTGGGTGAAGGAGGCCCCACACTGGTTGCACTGGAAAGGCCGTTCCCCTGGGATGAGGAGAGGAGAGCCAGTGATTACAAAACTCAGTGTGGGGACAAGAGGACGACGACAGCAGCGAGAAAGTTGTTTCCCACGGGGGCTCGGTGACTTCCACCGGCTGCAGGTTTGATAGAACATGAGGCTTTCAGACTAAACCTGCCAGCTCCTTAACGCTTCACTGGCTGGGTCAATTTGATCTGAAAATCTAATTTTTTTTTCCCTAAATCAGAATGGCACATCACAATGCAAATTCAAACTCATTTAAATAAAGTGACTGCAACATTTTGTGATGAAGAGCCACTCTTCCTGATCAGCAGTTTTGGAATAAACCAATATCCAATTTTGCGTGTTGTGGCATTTGGTGGGGTTTTTAATGTGGCTTTTTTCAAAGGGTCTTTAAAATATGCCACTGAAGCAGCAAAATAAAAAGGAAACTCATTAAAAATGCATTTCAGGATCACAAGTTCATTTCAGCGTTACATTCTTATATTTAAATGAAAGGCACTTCATTATAACAGTTATAATAACTTCTTTTCATTTACATTTTCCCTGTATTTTCCCTTTCAATTTCTTCTCCATTACCTGTCTGTCCCTAAGCAGGCAAATCAGGAGAGAGACAGACAGAGAAAGTGAGGGTGAGAGAGGAAGAGAGAGAGAAAAAAAAAAGAGAGAGAAAAAGATTGAATAAAATGAGAAGTTAAGAAACAGTGAAGCAAGGACCCATTTTTCAAAGAAAAGTCCCAGATCTCCCTACGGCAGGGCATGAAGGTCAGAGTTAGTTGAGATTCCTTGTATTTTTCTTTTTTTTACAACTTCTTAAGCCTTTTAAGCACTTATTTGTCTACATCCATAGATGACAAATCATATTTCAACTACAGACAATCTGAGAGATGCCATGTCGTTATCACTGAGGGATTCTTCCAGGGTGGTACCACTGCATTTGTAACTAAGTACCTGAAACTTCTGCTTAGACTCAGGATCTGATGAAGGGGATAAACAGGTCTTTGCAAGAATGAAACAGGCTGTTGTCTTACTGGGGAGTCACAGATCTTGGAATCTAACTTGATGAACATTGCATTTGATTCCCACTGAAAGGAGTGATACATTTGTCTTGTTTAAGTAAGAAAATATTAACGTTCTTTTAAAAAATAATTGAAAAAAAAATTAATGCTTCATTTATAAGAAGGGAACTATGTGACCACAATTCCTGGTACTGAGATAACCACAAAAATGTATGTCCCAGGTAAAAAGTTTTTCATAGGAATAAAGAATGTGTTAAAATGTCTTTTCAATCGTGTTCCCAAATGATTGATCTGACTGTGATGAAGGAGACAGCACTAATCAAAAACAATTAAGTAAAGCATATCTGGTACTATTAAAATCCACACCAGATTAAATTTTAGAATTTCCTGATGATCATCGCTATTTTTCATTGTGCAGGAAAGATGTGCTACTATAAAAAGTTGAAACTAATTTGCAGTGCTATTCAACTATAGGTCAGTTGGAGGGACATGGCTCTCACTAGAATACATTCAATATTTCTCCCAAATTTCTGTCCCATTTGGACTTGGCGGAGCAGAGAGAAAGGGTTTCAAGTCAAGCAAGTTGGAAGGTAATAATAAAACGAACTCACTAACTACCTTCTTCCCTGAGTTCCAAGCCCACCCATGTAGCTGATATAGGAGGGGGAGGTTGAAATAGCTGGGAGCCAGGTAGCCCTGCAGAGCCTCCCATGAAGAGGTCAGTTAATTATTGATTAGATATACTTCTAGGCCTTCATTGTACCTGTTCATGAATATGTGTGTTTAACTCCAAGGGGATAAAAAGAGAAAGAAGACTGACTACTGTGTGCAGAGAGACCCAGATCTGGTGAATCAGAATGTACCTCCAACCACAGGGTATTCTTACTTGGAGGTGGGCACCCTCAGGCTGGATGGGAAAGACAGTGGGGAAAGTCCATGTCACAAAAATGTTCAGAGTGAGGATGTGGGGACAGACACTCCTGGTGACATAAGTGTGTTTGTGATATGATCCGAAGTGCCTAACATAGGAAGGACCCTTGCTGTGCTGGGGAAGTGAGGAAGTGTCAGGTCTCCCCAAGGTCTGAGCTGCTACAGGGAAGAGCTGCACTACACAGGTAGAGCCACTGCTCAGATGATTACAGGCACGTCTCACTTCTGCAGGGAGGCAAGGCAGCGTTTCTTGCAGAGTCAGACTGGTCTTCTGATTTGAGTCCACAGCCTTCCAGCTCCACTGGAAATCTATTTGCTTCTGACTGCCTGTGTGGGTGCATATGTAGCCCAGGGCCAGGGCAAGGTCTTAGCATTCCTCAAAGTGAACACAGGTTCCACTCAAGGAATCTTGCTCTTGGAGGTTTAAACCTAAGAGGGCACATCCGTGAAGCGGAGCTACATAACAGGGCCCGGGTTCTGTATTCTCCTTCTCTTGCCAGTGGCAGCTGCCTGCCCTGGGCACGTCAGCAGCTTGTTCCTGCATCTAAGTAAGATTAAGTTTCTCCAAACTTGCATTTATATTTATTTAACTTGGACGAGGACTTTGATGACTACAAATTCCAAGTTTAGTTTTTTATCCCAGAGACTCTACACATTTTCCATTGTAGGAGACCCTCTGTAAGAATTTTGGAGACCCTGTTAATAATTTAATTGGGTAAAAGAGCAAGTCTTTATGGATATGTACCTCAAGAGATTTCTGAGGACCTATCCAAAGAAGTTGGATTGAAAAATGTTTGTATCCCAAGAAGGGACCTGGGCCTGTTCCTGTTGCCCCTGCACTAAGGAGCAGTATTGTGGTCAGGGAGCATAGTGCATGTGCTTTTTGACGTGACAGATTGGGACAGAGTCTGTGCATGGCAATCTCCTTTTTTTTTTTTTAAATCTGTTTGCTCTTTATCATTTATAATAATAAAGCTACACATGTGTGTGTGGGGGGTCTCCCCTCTGCATTTCCTGCTTGTTTCCTACCACTGTCCATCTGATTCTTACACTCTGAGATGCAGGCGGAGAAGGCATTGCTGTTACTCCTGAATCACAGATGTGAAATGGAGCAGCAAATAGAGGAACTGACGCCCAGCACCAATGACAATGGCACCAGTGCGACTGCACCAAAAGGGTGACACAGGCAGAGGCAAAGGCCCTGTCCTGGAGATTGCTCTAAAATCCCCTGCTTATTAGGGGAGAGACTAGGAAACCCAGGAAGCCCCACTGACTGGGTCAGGGAGAGGGGGATGAACATGACACGGGGTCAGGATGCAAGTCCTAGCTTTCCATATGGGTCATGAATCTTAACTAAGCTCTCAAGGGAACAGCTGTCCAAATGGCCTTGCTTACTGACTGCTCCTCAATGGCACGTCCCTGCCCTGTGTCTCCTAGGGGTTTTTTAGAAATGCCCACTGTTGGCTTCTCCCTGGAATTGAATCAGAATCTGCATTTTCACAAGATCAGATTAATTCATTGGCCCTTTCAAGTCTGCTGCTCTATAACTCCCCTGAAAATAGGCAATGCAGACAGCGTGGCTTTTCAGATGTATTCCACCCAGATCCCAGGAAAATGAAAACCTTTGTAGCATGTGTAGTTGTTCAAACCTAGTTTAGCCAGACTGGGTAAACACCGATAGCTACCTGTGACCATCTGTATTTATACAAGTGGAAATGTACAGTGAAGAAAATCTCAGTTTCAGGGGTTTCTTCTTATTGCTTTTTTTAATAAAGGGTCAGGCAGGAACTGTAAAGTTTATGGTATTGTCCCTCTTTCTGGAAGTGATGTGCTCTGTAAGTGAAGGGCTCAGCACAAATTGGGGTGTATGTGACACTTAGTTACTATTTGTGGGGAGGAAGTCAGCAGCAAAGAGCAAGTGCCACTCTGCATATCAGTACTTGGCAGGTTTATTCATTAAATGCAATTATTCTTTTTATCAAAGGCTGCAGCCATTATAGTTTGGCAATTTAGTATGCCCGAATTTGATTCATTTATCAAATATTTATTTAAGAGAATTTTCACTATTCGATTGGGCTTTACATGAATTAGCAGAAAAGTAATTCATTTGTGAGGTTGATTCCTCATCAGGAATGTATCACCATAGGTCCTAGAGCGCACTGTTAAGTGTCTGTCACAGGGTAGCCTCCTTCATGTTAATTTCCACCTCATTATAAAATAAGGATGGCAGGATTCCTCTCATGCAAGCTTTTCTTAGGGTTGGATGTGATGGGTCTATTTCACTGGGTTATTTGAAGATTAAGGAGCCCACTCAGAAAAGCAAATTTTGCTTAATTTTAGAAACTAAGTTTTTATTAAATATAAATGTCTATTGAAAATCAACTTATCTGTGATTTTTCAGATGTGTTACAAATGGAATACTACATTTTGGAGACCACCTTGATTCACATATAAAAATTACAATCCCACAAATATCTGCATTTCCTGACTTGTTTTTCTCAGTGCATTTTCTGAATCCCTGCTTACTTTTTTTGATTTTTATTTGGTTCCAAGCAACAAGCACACCAGGCTATAATTTTCAAGTTATCTTCCTCACTTTCTTGAGATATACAATCTGCTGTTTCCATAGCAGCTTTTCTCCTCCTGGACTACAGTGGTAGATGCTATTTTCTGATGACCTAAGGATGCCAGTTCACAGGCAGCAAGAGCTCAGGGTATCTACATTTTATGGCCAAACTTTCTGAGACTACTACAGATGGTGAATGTAATGTGCTTTACCCACCTTTAAGGAAGCTTCCTAAGGAAAGAAGAATTTCTGTTCATTTCCAAAGAAACCTCATGCAAGATAAGGACCATTAACATTTTACTTCTAAGAGTCCATTACTGTCAGTGGTGGTGGTATGACAGTTCTGTTCCTAAGTATGTGGCTGTTCAATAGACAGGGATCACTAAGACATGAGTGGACAGGGCCATCATGGCCAGCTGAGACTCATGGCCCCATGACAGGGCATCTTGTGAGCCTGGGTACAGTTCTCAGATGCTGGATTCCCTGGGTTTTTTTTCATTTTTGAATACAGAATATTACATTATTTTCTACTTCCAAAGTCTCCAGGAAAACTTTCGGTATGACAGGTTTGGCATGAAATTCTTTACCAGTTGGAGATGAAAGTAAGTGGCGATATCACAGTCCTATTCAATGTCTCAGCCGTTACAGGGTGACCCATATGAAAACTGATTCAAACTCTTTCTGATAAACTACATTTTGGCACTAGTCCGTTATTAACTGATTTTTCTGATCAAGTTCTATTACTTAGAATGTATCGAAAACACATGGTTTCTAAGTGGGAAAACTGAAGACTCTGTTTTGGTGCATTCAGATCTTTCTGACCTGCTCTTAAGCATGGATCACTTAACATGGTAACCTAACAGTGTAGCTGAGACTAGCATGTATGATACGAGGCCCTTGACAGACTGCACATGTATATGCTGTTGACTTTTCCCTTCTTATTTAGAAGGTTAGTGGCATGTGTTGAGAAATCATTCTAAATATTGTTCAATGATGATGCTATGGCATCAGTACAAGTTGGAGCCAATTACGTGCAACTGCTGTGCCGCCAGTCAATTTGCAATACGCTCAAAACACTCCACATAGGATATTTTGCTCTTCACCACCCCATGGGACCTTCTCAGGCCACTAAAGGAAAAACTATGCCAGGCCTTACCAGTGTGGCTTCTTTTGTGAACCATGAGCACATTGGGCCCGATGCAAATGATCCCACAGATATCACACTTTAGTTTTCCGTTAGGAAGACGAATGCCTCCAACTCCCGACAAAGCCGAGCTGCCTTGGTCCCTGTGAGAGCCATTCATTTTCTCTCCCGAGGCATCAAGCATTCGTAAATCCTCCGCACATTCTTCCCCATTCATTTCACAGGCACGCCCATTCTCTTCATCACTCTGAGTCTCTACTTTAACATTACTGGCTGAAAGAAACAATACAGGAAGCCACTCAGTGTCACTGAAAAAAACAAAACAAAACAAAACAACACAACAGCAAAAAGACAATCAAACGGACGCAGAGAACAACTGGACAGAGTTTCTTAGCATGTACTAAGTCGCAACTTTCCTTATGTTCAATCCACAGAGGGCTTGGATGGCAGCCCCTAGGATGCACCCAGGGCAGAGGGATATGGGAAGGACCTGCAGACCCCCTTCAGAGATCTAAATAGAGAGCACCTAAAAATGCATGAAAAACTACTTATAAAGTTTGCACTTTAGGATTGAGCCCTCACTTTAAGCAGGTTAAGATCATCGGATCCACAATCTTGTGGACTCTCAGGAGGAATCTGGGGCTGAATTCTATGGACGCTTTGTCAGACAAGCACTTAACATCTAGAAAGTGAGTATGCAGTCACATGATCCAACTCCTTAGAATAAGTGAACTTGCTGGGAGAGTCCCTAAGAGGTGATTTATCAAGCCTAAAGAACTTTTCTTACACATAATGTTACCTTTCCTTGTTTCATATAAATATTCATAATTTGGGGGGAAACTCATGCTTGGAGTTATGACCCCAGATCCTTTCAAGTTTCTGAGAGATCATTTTGTTTCTCTGGTTCATGAGCCATTCAACGTCCTTTTCATCTTACAGTGATATAAATCCATCTGGAGTCCTAAAGTAGAGGTGGTCTCTTACATTTCTATGTGTAAGAGATCAGGAAGAGTTATCCAAAGGCAAATATTTTTTTGTGGGGCAATGAACTGCTGGGGTGAATGAATACCACAGCTACCGCTAACTCTGCCTGACTATTTTGGTCACACAGTGGTAATTCTATCATTTGCATATTTTTCTTCCAAAAGAAAATATGAGACACTGTTAGCACTCTTCTGAGACACTGATAGCATACTGATGGGTCCAGCACTGTAACGAAGAGAAACTGCAGCTACCCTGAAAGCCACCATGTTTCTCTCAGTTTGCACAGACTCCTCAGAGTGGGTAAGTACATTTTGCTAAGTAAAACCATCAATGAATCAGATGACAATTATGTCTACGTAATTTTGGACTGAGGTTTCCCATCAACAGTCATCAGAGTTGGGTCTTTGGAGATGTAGCCTCAGCATCAAATGCTACAAGGGCAGATGTCTGGGTCCCCCCAGACCTGCTAATTCAGAGACTTGGGTGGGCTCTGAAATCTGTGTTTTGATGAACCTTCCAAGGAACTCTAAGGTACACTCAAGACTGAGAACAACTGCTTTTAATAATCAACCTAGTTCATACCCCTCCATCTTTGTTCACCAAATTCCTTTTGATTTGGAGACTTAAGAGTCTGGACACTGAAAGCCAAAGACCTCGTCTGGGATCAAAGCTCCTCTGTTAAAAGCTCAGAGATCTTAGGCAAGTCATGTAATTTCTCCATGCCTTGATTTCTTCACCCATTGAAAATGGGAACTATCACAGCACTGAAGGGTAGCTGGAAGGATTAATTGGGCTAATAGCTGAGAGGTAGCTCAGGACGTGGACTGGAATATGGAAAGTAGATGCGTGCTCCCCTCAGAGGGCAAAGTCCACCTAACCCCAATAAAGTTTACAGAACTTACCTGGCACTAGGCCCACAGTGTTTTTAGGTACACTTGACTATTTAACCCTGAGAAGAACTCCACAAGGGAGCTACTGTCATTATCCTATTTTAAAGTCGAAGAAGCTAAGGCACAGAAAGGTTGAATTTGTTAAGGTCACACAGCTAGTAAGTGGCAGAGCTGGGAGCTAACTGCAAGGGTACCTGGCTCTGGTGCCTACATTTCTAACCACTCTACTGCCAAGGTTTCCTCATGAGCTCTTTGGAGAAAAGACCTACAGACAGATTAGGGAGTGAAAGGAATGAACTAGAACAGCCCCCACCGTAGACTTGGAGGCCCCAGAAGTAATGATGTGCTCCTGCCCCTTACTATCAAAAATGGCATTGTGTAAGACCATCCTGAGATGGGCTTCTTCAAATGCTGTTTCTTACAGAGGTCTGGAGATCAGAGACTTAGAGCACCTTGCATCTCAGCAGCCTCTTACTAATCCTTGTGCCAGAGACAAAAAAACCCAAATCCTACTGATGTAGTCATGAAGGGAGATGAAGCAGGCAAGTGAGGCCCACCTGCCATCCAGGTAAAGATGTTTCCTGACTGCTGAGTTGTCCAGAATCAGTATTCTCCAGTAGGTGCTGGTATCTTCGGGGGCAGAAGCTAATTCACTAGACCCTTATCATTCAACACTGTCAGCATTAGTCTTGCCATGGTTTAAGTGCCCCCTAGAGTCTCATAGCTAAAAAAGCTTTGTTCCCAGGATGATGGTGTTGGGAGATGGACCCTGCAATAGGTGGTGGCAAGCACCACCCCTAGGTAATGGAGGCAGGCCATAAGGGACTGTGAGGCTCCCGTCACTCACCACATCCTGGCTCATGATGTGAAGGTCTGCTCCAATGTCTACTCCCTGCTATTGCCATCTGGTACCCTCACCAGACAGTGTTCATGGACTAGAATCCCCAGAACCATGAGCTAAATAAACCTTTTGTCTTCAGAAGCTAATGGTCTCTGGTATTTCATTTTAGTAATGCAAAGCTGACTAATGTAGTGACTTCAAGAGGAAGAAAGACCTGAGCTAGCACACCTGCTCTGTCTTCCCATGCTGCAATGCAACCACAATTCCCTCACCAGATGCCAAGCAAATACTGGAGGCATGCTCTTTAACTCGCCAGGCTTCAGAATTATGGGCCACACGAACCTTTATTTTTTTATAAATGTAACTTTGTTATAGCAACAGATAATGGACTGAGTCAAATGTGCACAAGAAAGATGATAAAGCTGTAAAGATCTATGTGATCCTTAAATCTAGGATTCTTTTTAATTATCTACCTTGTGGGCTTTTAAAAGTGAAACTGGAGCACTCTGGAGCCCAGTGGACCAAATGACAGTTAGTGTGACAAGTTCTTCCACCTTGACACAGGGCTGTAGCAAACCATGTGAGATAGAAGCTCCCTGGGATGGAAAAGAAGAAGTGTAGGGGTTTTCTCATCCCCTACAGAAGAACATGGTGGTGGGATGATCCACTTAAGACGTTCCCCACTTGGCTCTATTTCATTAATTTTAGAGACAACTAGTTACAGAAAATTCCCTCTGGCTTTCTCAAGGGCCCATGTGCACATGTAGCACCTGAGCACCTTCCAGAAGTGACCCTGGCTTTTTTGCATCAAAAAGAATGTTGAGTACCCTTGTGAGTCTCTGGGTGGTCTATGGCATGTGTCACTGTGTGGTCTGTGTGGGCACTTTCTGCAGAGGAGCAGGACAGCAGGGAAGCATCGGCTGTGACCTCTGGGTTTCTGGAATCAGGAACGGAAGTTCTGCCATAGCAGGCTGCTTGCATAAGGAGGGAAAGCTAAATGTCAGGAAGGAAGCAGATGAAGAAGCGTGGGGGACAGCATGCAATGGATATTGCCGTGAATACCACAGACATCCTCAATGCCTGGAGACTTGACATCAACCACTAATTTTCCTAGGGCTCATTGAAGGCAGGACTGTCATTGCTAGGCTACACGACAGGGTCACAGAAAGCTCTAATAGAAGCGAAAGAGAGAGAGAGAGAGAGAGAGAGAGAGAGAGAGAGAGAGAGAGAGAGAGAGACTGACTCAAAGGCATGAGAGTCTATCACAAATTATCCTGAGATCAATATGGATACCCAGATGGATTTGTGTGGGAATATATGTGTATAAAGAGATCCTTTACACAGATCTGTACGAACAGCAGTAAGAATTTTCAGCAATGAGAATAGGTATCTCTGAGAAGAGAATGAAAGCTGCTGAGATTTTCTTAGTCTCTGAGAAAAAGACAATATCCCAAGATCCTTGTGGGCAAGGCTAACGAATGCTAAGTAACGGAGACGTGGCAGAGGGCTCCCCGGCAGCAGACCGAACATGGTTTTACACAGGAGCTCGAGGGTAGGTGCCAGGAGTTCTAGAACAAAGGGTACCACAGCGGTGAGGACAAATTCTAGGCTACACCGTGACTGAAAAAGTCCAAGAGGAAGGGGATGAGCCGGGGCCAGGGGAATCTGTGAGAAGTGACCAGGTGACACCCAGCACAGGGCATGCCAGATCCAAGCAGTGTAGGGGTTTTCTCTAAACAGGTGGGGAAGGCCCTCACATCACTGTGTACAAAAGTAAACAGCGCACTTGTCATGTAGGGGACATCAAGAGATTTCTGTTCACTCAAAGAGGCGTCCATGAAAGTGGGGGTCTCCATGCAGAACTGCTCAGGGTGGTACTGTTTTAAAGTACTGTCACACTCTCTCTGAATATAGGGAATAGACTTATAAATATTTTGTAAACCCCAAACCTACTCCACACTTAAGACATCAATTGAGCTGATTAAATATAGAACATGAAATAGGGACTTGTGCGTTGCTTTCCCTGAATGCTCTGGCTCAAGCCAGCTTGAGCTCTTCCATTGACTGAGGGATGGATAATGGACACGGGTCCAATTTTATTATTCAACAAACATGGCTCATATTAAGAGTGTTTGCAAGCTCTTAGTCAAAAGCTATGTTGACTTCTCACATGATATTTAAAATCAGGACAGATTAAAATCCTATTGTCATGTATTTTAGAGGTCTTCTATGCTATTGGTAACCCCATAGTTGTAAGAGAGGCTCCAAGCTCTTGCAGATAGCAAGCTGCATTGAGGAATCCGGAGACTCCAAGGAACTCTGAGGTCAACAGAAGCCAAGAGGCCTGGATTGGCTGCCAAGCATTATGTTCACTTGTGAATAATTAAACATTTTTAATGCATAGGCATAATGTACGCTGGCAGCCCCACCTCACAAAGAGGTTGTATTTCCTCTTCATTTTCCTTTCCTTTTTAGAACATGTCTTTATATTTACTGGAAAAGTATATTTTTGGTACCAAGAATGCATTTTGCCATTGAAAAAGTGTCCTGAAAGCATCACTCCAATATAATCAGTTCAAGACAGGTAAGCTTGAAATGCACAATATTTTAAAAAAAAAATGGGAGATACAAATATCCTTGCTACACTAGTGATTAGTAAGTAAAAATCAAATTGAATAAAAATATTTAAGATTTACCTTGAAATTACCTATGGTAACTGACTGAAATTTGAGATGAAGAATTATACACGTTACCCAAAAAGATTTATGAAATTTAAAATATTTTAAAGGCTAATGGAATCATTTATTATAACTTATCATTATTTAAAATGTAAAGTTTTTATCTTGCCAAGGTGCATATTATTTGAACTACTCTACTTACTTGATGTTTTAAGCCTTTAAATAGAATAAAGTCAGGGAGAAAGAAGACAGAAAAAAGAACATTGGAAAAGAGTATAAAAAGAATGAGTTTCAAGGATATATATATATATATATATATATGTCTTCCTCAAGTATCTAAGGAAACAAATTGGAATAAAGATAGTGGAGTAGGTCAAAGAGATGGTATTTTAATTTCTTCAAGAAAGAAGGAATTAGGTGTTAAAGATCATGGGAGACAATTCTTCATCATAACCACAAGGTGGTGATATTGACCTAGAACAGTTTGGTTGCTGTAAGGTGGGGGCATCAATGCCCCCAGCCAATGGTGCAAAGGAGGATATTTACAATTTGGAAATGTTAGGGGGAAAAGTGAGTTCATATAAATATGTTATGAACATATTTTTATAAATATGTAGACAGAAAGTATCAAAATACATATCATGACTCATAAAAGCTCTGGGAATCATATGTATTCACATGCAGCAATTTTTGCATCCTGAAGGTTGCCAAAAGATCTGCTTGAATGTTACAATATTCTGGGGACTACCCCTTTCTCAAGACTTAATGGAAACATGTTAGGAAGTGGGATGTGGGTTTGTTTGTTTGTTTGTTTTGCACTGGGGATTGAACTCAGGGGTACTTAACCATTCAACCCCAGTCCCCCCCCTTTTTTTAAATTAAGAGATAGAGTCTCACTGAATTGCTTAGGACCTTGCTAAGTTGCTGAGGCTGTTTTCCCGATTCACCTGTCTCAGACTGCAGAGCAGCTGGGATTACAGGTGTGCGCCACTGTGCCCAGAATTATCTTATGCATGTGCTGTTTCAAAACATTTTAACAATATTGTTCATCTCATATTAATATGACTTCCCTATCCTGACACCTTAATTTCCAATGTTTATATGTGCACATACAGATATTCACATAAATAAACAGTTATATAGGAATACACATATATCTCACAGAAATAAATATGAAGCTACTATTCTGAAATTGAATCAAAGGGATATCAGTTGAGAAAGACTTCTATAAACTTTTAAACCTTGTAAAAGTCATTAATCTAGTATGTGAGCAAAAGTATCCTTGGATTGATAATGGTGTATCCTTTGGGTACCAAACAGATTTGTTAACTAGGGTGTCAGAAACCTTTCTTTAACTATTACTGACACCTCTTTTATATGAGACTATTTTTATAACTGTTATAGTATCAGTGAGCTGGGCCTGGGGTGTAGCTCAGTGGCATAGTGCTTTCCCAGCACACTCAAGTCCCTGGGTTCAATCCTAAGCACTGAAAAATAAATCAAAACACAAAACTCCAAACAATATTTACAAGCACAATGTTACAGTCACAATGTTACAATATTCTGGGTAGTCCCCAGAATATTGTAACATTCAAGCAGATCTTTTGGCAACCTTCAGGATGCAAAAATTGCTGCATGTGAATACATATGATTCCCAGAGCTTTTATGAGTCATGATATGTATTTTGATACTTTCTGTCTACATATTTATAAAAATATGTTCATAACATATTTATATGAACTCACTTTTCCCCCT